CGAGGGTGGCTGATGGCAACATCGGCGATGGGCAAACGAGGTTGCGAAACCCAAGCGGAGGTGGTCGGGCCAAGCCGGGGACTTCATCCGTAAGCGCGTCTGCGCTACCGACGATGATGGCTCAACTAAGGTCCTCTTGATGGATCCCCACGCCAGGGTGTTTGTCGGCGCGCTGGTGGTGGTAGCGCAGTCGTTAACCACCATGGTAGGGAAGTATCTCTTCATTTTGCTGGGGAACCTCAACCTGGTTGCCTCCTTCTCCATCTTTCTTTTTTCACCAGGACTAATTTCTATGTTTCTTGGTGGGTCGGCGAGGTTGTAAAATCCCTAGCACTCACCACAGCACGACGGCGGCTACCTACACCACCTGGCCGTTCATTGTTATGGAAGCGTGATGTGATGAGCTTCTCCTAGCGGCTTAGAGGCGAAGCCAGGGGAGGAAGGGTGGGATGCATTGTCATGCTCGATCTTGACATCTTATATTGACAGTTTGACACAGTGCTGGGTGATAGTGGGAAGCCTACTGGAATCAACTTTTGATGTTCGATCCCCTCTACTTCTTTAACATTGTTCAAATGATACACACTATGCTTAGTATTTTGTTTCCTAGGAATAAGGTCTGAAATATTTTCCTGCAAAAAAGGTTCGCAATATAAATATATGGATGGTGACGCTTTGATTAGTGGCCCGTGCGCTGATCACCCGGCAAGCCGGGCGCCAGGTGAGTTTGCTCAAGCGAACTCTCTTCCTGATTAACTTTTTGTGTCTCATGTTTCTTTTGTCTATCCAGACTTTGATTTCCATTACGGTGTACATGCCATGTGTTTGGTGCAATGCACAAGAGGAATCATTGGGCTCAACTGTCTTTATTTTCTATGTACGAGGAGCCGAGGAGTACATCATGGACTCACTACAGCAGATGCCATTAACCTCCGTAGTCCATTGCTGTAACTGATGTTCATATTAATTTACCATATGGAAGATTAAAGTTTCACTCCGCTTCAAGATCTTTATGTGGTTCGTCCATAAAGAAGTCATCTTGACCAAAGATAATTTGATGAAAGAGAATTGGGTTGGTAACCCCAGGTGTTGTTTTTGTGATCAAAACGAAACGATTAAACACCTCTTTCTCGAGTGTCCACACTACAAAAAAAATACACTTTCGTGATGATACATGTTTGTCACAGTAGGTCGTGTTTTTTATCATGCATGTACATCCATGACGATTTTATGACAAAATCAAGATAGTCATACCTGTGCTATCATAGAAGTGTTCCATGACATTACCAAAATTATCATCACGGAAGTGTCCACTTCCATGACGATAAATCGCGCGTCACAGAAGTGCTTTCGTCAAGGGTGACCGACACGTGGCATCCACCGTAACGGAACGCTGTTAAGCTATCAGGTCCGGTTTTGGATCCGATAACCCACTAACAGCCCCGACCAATGGGGATTTTCTACGTGTAAAATCATCATTGGCTAGAGGAAACACGTGTCGGCTCACCGTTGGGACAGATGTCATCCACTCATTGGACCGAAGGCACCTATGATACGTCGACACGTGGCACGGCCGAACAGAGGCCCATTCCTGTGAAAAGGCCGACCTGTTTGACTTGGTCAAAAGGTGGTGGGCCGTCCCACGAAAAGCCTGTTAACGGCCTATTCGCATATAGCCCATTTATAGCCCGCTAACCCAGGGCCCGTTACGACCTATCCGAATTAGGCCCAATAGCGTCATCTGGGCCGTCCAATATGATTCCCGCCCATTTTAAGTTCCGGCCCATGTATGGCCCATGATGTCTTTTGACCCATATGAGGCCCTTTGTAACTCTTGGCCCATTAACGACCTATGG